TCTATTCTGTTATATTCTTCATATCGTATATGAATTTACAATTGATAAAAGGATACAAAATAAAAAACTATAGCGTAGATAAAATTTATAAAAAACAAAAAATTATTAAAATAGAAACTATTAAGCTAAAGGGCGGGAAGGAGAGGAAGGGGGAATAATAAATTCGTTTAGGATAAAAGTCAGTTCCCCATGGGGTTAATGAAGAAATATCGTATAGTATGCTTGTAGTAGGGCTTTAGGGGTACTACTCGCGCCGTTCCTGGATAGGTCGCGAGTGTCGATGATGGGGGTAAGAGGTTGTACCGGGCAGGCCCCTTGTCCCCTTGGCGCGCAATGGGCCAGTCCTGCGCGTTAACTCGCCGGTCGCTTGGGTCGACCGGCTGCTGCGCTTCATCAGTCGACATTCGACCGTGCAACGCGACCTACTACCAGTTAGAGCGTCCTCGTGATTTGCGCTTATACCGCAACTATAGTTATTCGCGATAGTAACAAGGGGAAAAACTGAACGGTATATAGAGTCCGTCAGCAACAACATCTATGCTTGCGCTAATTTATTTTTTTTAATTCTTAATTATTTTTCTTTTTCTCCTAACGTTAATCATAACTTTAATTCAATGTTTCTCTAAACAATAATAATAATAGTAATAATAATAGTAACAACAATTCGAATAAAAGTTTTTTAGCGCGAATTTACGGCTATATTTGTGTGATTTTGAAAATTTTTCAATACGATCGAAAAAGAAAAATACTTTTTCCTCGAGGAAGAGGAAGATACTAGAAAAATAAAGGGGGTGGGGGAAGAAAAGATCAAAAGTGTCGGGTAGTGTTGGCAAGTGTTGCGCGGGTGTGTTTTAATTCAAAGTTGTCCCGTTGTGGATGATACGAAAGAAATCTTGTGGGGTATATGGCTGTCTCATAGATCCATCGAGACCTATTTTTATAATTTCTCATCGTTTTATTTCCTCGTTGTCTCATCCTGTCATCGGGCTCTCGTCATCGTGATATTTTAACTTGCTCGTGTTACACGAGTCGAAGAAGAAACCACATCTACGAAGCAAGCAAGCAAGCAAGCAAGTAAGCAAGCAACAAGCAAGCCAGCCAGCCAGCAACGGAATGTGGCACGAGGTGAGTTAGCAGCTCGCCCGGTTTCGCTTAACCGCGAGAGAGAAAAAGAGAGAGAGAGAGAGAGGTTCAGGGACGGACTCCCAAAGTCCCTGGACCCTTTTTCGACCTAGGACCACTTCGATTTAGGCCCTTCCATCCCCCTCCTCCAATCTTCATTTCTTTTTTTTATCTTCTTTATTATCTTCTTTCGCGCGCTCATGCGCTCTCTTTCTCTTTCTCTTTCTCTTTCTCTTTCTCTTTCTCTTAAATATACCCCCCTCCCATCCACCTCTCTACTACCATCAACCCTATATTATACATATACAAACTCTCTTTAAGGTATTACTCTTGTCTTCTTCTTGCTTGACTCGTAATTTTTTTTCCTGAACGCATTCTGAACCTCCGAAAAAAGAGAGCCGATCGATGATGATGATCGATTCTACGAAAATTGATTTTTGATCAATCGCGAGAAAAACATGTGTGTTCAATGTATATTATCTTTCGTATAAAAACCTTTAGGAAAGAATATTTCTCAAAGAATCGACGACAACACGCTCAGAACACTTTTCGTACGTTTCAATTTGATTATCTTTCGAGAGAGATAAGAGATTGATTATTCGTGCTACGAAGTTACGTTTCACGTGAGCAGATGTAACATTTTTGAAAAGGGAGGGAGACGATCGATAAGTACGTTACATTTTTTTCAATGATTCAATCGAAGTTAAGGGGGGGGGTGAAATGGAGGGATGATTAAAATCCTTTCAACATTCCTAACGTAAGATTCTCGCATAAATTAATTTCTATTATATGAGATAATAAATATTGATTTAAGCGAGATATTTTTTATATTTATATTTATGTAAATAATGAATATATTATAAAGAAAAATTATAATTCTCGAATTTATCTAAGTATCTTGGTAGATACTAGATAATATACGCGATTATCTTATCTATCCCCTTCTTTTTTTTCTCGATCGTTGTTTTCTATGGCTTCCGTTCGCTATGCTAAACTAACTCGCGTTTTCTTACCTTACACAGTCAACGAGAACACAGTCGTGTGTAGTTCAACATTTTCCGGGCTCCTCTTCCGAGACTCTTCCGGGATTCCACGATGGAAGATATCCTTATTTTTGGTAAATTCAAATAATTATATCATTTAAATGATTAATCATTGTATTAAATGAATTTAACAATCGTTAGAAATTAAATAAATCTCGGTAGGTCAACTTTTTTTCCGAGATAGAAACGAAAATGTCTAATTGGCCATTTGACATTGGCCAATAACGAATAATGTCGAGAATTTGAAATAGTTTATATTTAAATAGATATTTATTGGGTCTAAGATCCAACTCCCCCCTCTCCCTACTCCATTTAGTATTTTGATCAAATTGATTCGTTGAAAATTGAAAAGAGAGAAAGTAAGATGTAATACCATCTATTATAGATTAAAGTTTTTGATGTATCATATCGTTAGATCTAACCGTTTGCTCAATATAACAGCCAAACGAGTAATTTCTTCTAGTTGATTTCGAAGCTTACGTCGACACGGCCCTGAGAGAAAGAAAGAGATAGAAAGAGAGAGAAAGAGAGAAGAGAAGTGGCCTCGCGATTCGTGTACGCAAGATATTTTGTATCCGTTACTCCCTCGAACGCATTCCATCTCGCTGGATCTCACGCGACATGGATCGATTCGTCTTCGAACCGTGCCTTTTCCTTTACAATTTTACAATTAGATCAAACCGATATTTTCTTTTTTTATAATAATATTTATTTTATTTTTGTTATTTTTTTTCCTTTTCCTTTTTATCGAGATAATATTTTCGTATATAATATATTTTAAATAATACGTTTTATTTATAAGTTTTATTTTACGTTTTATTTATACGTTTTATTAACGAACTTTTATTACAAGTTCGCATCGTTCAACAATCTGTTAAGTTAACAAATTAATAATTTAATCTCTCCGTCATTCGGTCGGTCAAAGAGAGATCATTCAATATTTAACACTTATCAGGGTTGTAAGTCACGTGGTTAGTGACTTATAAAAAATAAAAATATATTATTAATAATTAAATAATTAATCATTTCATATATTTGTAGTACTTCTTCAAAAAAGTAAATAATTTCTAATAAATAACAAGTTATTCTTATATTACTAAACAATTTTGTTTGTTTATGTGCTAAACAATATTGAACGAAACCACTTATAACTTACTATTAGTGAGAATCATTAATACGAAGATCTGACGACCGATAAGGGTTAATTATTATTCTATAATGATTTATTTTTCTTATCTTTTACTCTATTTATTATTCAAATCTTGTATCGAAATTATTAGGGTGAATCAAAAGATCGTGAGTTTATTGTGTTAAAACTTTACTTTTAAAACTACACGATGAATTGTTTTTTTTTTTTTTTTATAAAATTTATACTTTAGAAATATAAATAATTTAAAAAATACACGAACATTTATTGTTGTTATGATAAAATCAACATTTCGAAGCTTAATAGTAATTGAACGGAACGTTTTTTGAAGCTGCGTTCTAATGATACTAGGGAGCTCAACAGAAAAGGGGGAACACGGGTTGGATTCTAATGTCGTATAGAAATTATTAGGATTAATCAAAAGATCGTGAGTTTATTGTGTTAAAACTTTACTTTTGAAATTGCAAGATGGATTTCCTTTTTTATAAAATTTATACTTTAAAAATATTAATACTTTAACAAATACACAAACATTTATTGTTACAATAAAATCAACATACTTATGAACATTTCGAAGCTTGATAGTAATTGAATGGAACATTTTTTGAAGCTGCTTTCTGATGATACGAAGAAGGACAACAGGAGAGGGAGATAGAGTGACGGGTTGGATGGTAGAATCACAGGCATCTATTGAGAATTTTTTTTTGGAAAGTCTAAGAAAGACATTTCTAAGACGTAGAAATTCCGTTAAAGTCCCGTAGGGCCCAACACCAATGATTCGTTCGTTCGTTCGTTGGTTCTCTCACGTTTCTAGCATCATCGTAAATCGGACGTTAAGAAGGCCTGCTTGCCTGCCTGCCTGGTTCGTCCGCCTTCTCTTGTAAGCCGAACCCCGAAAAAAGATAGACGGATAGAAAGAGAGAAAGAGAAAGAGAAAGAGAAAGAAAGAGTGAGTGAGAGAGAAAGAGAGAGAGAAAGATGAAGGCACATCGAAGGTTGCCTCTCGTAGCAAAGGCACTCCTTAGTTCTGGCTCAAGGTCGGACTACTATTAAGAGGCTAAAGCACACTGACGGGTTTACGTCCTTCTTGCTAGGAAGAGAGTTCCTCGCAAATCTTTGAACAACGTTAGCGGAAACGCACGAGAGAGTAACAACAGGAGTAAAAGGGAAAAATCAGTGAGAGAGAGAATTATTATCAATAGGAGAGACTTTAATGCATGGTAACGCGATAGAGAAGAAGATTTCTTTTCGTTGTAGAAAAAAAAATGTCACCCCGTTGATTTCGTTAGACGATTTATAACATTTTTTTAGCTTTTGGATGATCTCTCTTTCTCTTTCTTTTTCTTTCTTTTTCTTTCGACAGGTAGCGTACAGTCGACTTGTGTCGACAAATCGATTCGATTCGATTCGATCTTTCAAGCCGTTACGCAAAAGTTCGTGGTACCGTATCGAAACGGTTGATAAGCCACGACCAAAACCTCTTTTTTTTCTTTTCTTTTCTTTTATTATATACGTATTTTTAATGTACACTTTAGACTTAATCTTTATCATTTTTTGTTTTTTTTTTCCTTTCTCTCCTCCCCTATACACTTTTTGATCATTTGCTTAACACTTTGACTACCACACCGAATTCACATGTTTCGCTCAGGTAATATTTTTATTATTCAAGATTTCATCAAAATTAATTGTTCATTTTTGATGTTCCAATAAAAATTTGTAATTATTAATGGGGCACTTTTTATTTTAAAGTACCCTAGTAGCAAAAAATATTGAAAAATATTGAATACATGTGTATTTAATATTAAAAAGAGATTTAATGTCTTTTTAATATTAAATACACATGTAATCAATATTTTGTGCTACTAGGGTATATATTCAAATTAGTGGTAATGTACATGTAATGTACTAACTGTAAATTTGTATTCAATTCTTACAATTATAAATGTTCAAGTGCTTTGTTTACCAATGATCAACGTGACAGTCAAAGTTTCAACCAAATTCGTTAAAACTTTACGCGAAAGAAAAAGGTGTTGTAAAATTGTTACAGTTACGTTAAATCCATTTTAATCTATGTTTATTAACTATTGTTATTATAATATTGGATTTTTAATGAAACACATTGACACACAGAGAATAATAATTAATATTCTCCAAAAAAAAAAAATCTAATAGAAAGAGAAGAAAAAGAAAAATTCGATGAAAAGATTGTATAAAAAAAAATAGAAACGTAGAGTTTAATTTAGTCGTTGAAAATATTTCTTTTTTTTTCTTTTCTTTCTAAGGAATTCTTTTTTCAAGGAAGCCAGATGAAATTTGTCGAGCTACGCGTTATTAGAAACACATGGGGGGATTCCTCGCTTGCTCCATTCCAGCTCGCAACACACGCACACATACATACATACAAATACATAAACATATAGGCATAACATGGGACACTCGGTTGTGATCATCGCGCATATCAGAGGACTGGATTTGCCATGAGCTTCGTATTCTTACGAAGCCGCGTATTAAAACCGCAAGGACTCGTTTCAGCTTCGGCCGATGTTAGGGCGTGTCACCAACGACTACAACGACAAAGACAATTCCTAACTTATTTCACAAAAATCGTTAGTTAGCGATCAGTTTTAAATTGAAAAAGAATTTTCAACATTATGGCTTTGAAAATTTATAATAGTGTATGTTGGTGAGGAGAATAGTTGGTGATGAAAAAAATACTCGTCAAAGGTTGACCTAAAACAATCGTTGGGTTTCTTCCTCATCTTCTTTTTATTCTTTCTGTCATACTTTGAATCATCCATTTCTTGATGAAAATA